CTGCGGCTTGTGTATTAGTATGTATATGTGCAAATTCACACCAAATCACCTTACTTCTTGATGAATGTCTGTATCTTTTTTATGATTCTATGATCTTTATGATCTCTATGGTTTTATGATTTTTATGATCAAATATAAAACATGTTCAACATTTTGGATGCTGCAAAACAATCTTCCCTAAGGATATTATTGCATATATTTTTTACACAAAATGCATCAAGATAATAGGGAGTCTATGGTTTCTTTCCATCAAAAATAAAGCTCATAAAGCGTCTGCAACTTTTTTCCGGTCCACCGGGATTGCGCCACTAGGACCAGGTAGACATTGGCAAAGCGCCACTGTCAAATCTACCCCCCTCCCTAAAAGGCACCGTCATTGCGCCAATGCGGCATTTCTTCAAGTTCAGAAAATACTTCAAGTTCAACTTTAGTTTCTCCCTTCAATATCGGGTTAGGTTAGGTTACATTCCATCTTCCGCCCGATTACCCTGCTGCCTGGCTACCTAGAGTAGCGTTGGCGCAATCCCGGTCCAACCCATTTTTCTTGGGGAATTGAACCATTAGGTTTGCTAGTGGATATATACTTTTGCATTTTACTCTTCAAGCTAAAATGTTACAGAAAATAAAATCCCAAATCGTCACCATTTACTAGTTTGTGTTAGGTTTGGCAAGGTAATATTTGATCATTAGGTCTTGGCACATTTCAATGCCTTTGTCACAATCTAACCACATTTTCCCAAGATATAACATTGATCCCAACATAGCCACATCAGATCACAATGACTCCATTGCCTCATATTTTTGTTCCTTTTTGCTTAAAAATGTTTCTATAGCCAAATAAAAAAAAAAAACATTTCTCTTTGTCAATACTGTTTTGCTAAATATTTTTATCTAAGGATATTCTTAATGTACTTGCTCAAGATCTTTAATAGATGCCTCTATTAGGATTTGTAACATTTGGTCAGATGGTAAAATCAATAAAATATTTTGAATGTATAAAAATCCTTTTTAAAATATTGGTAACAAACTAATTATATGTTCTTAAAACTGCTTTAATGACTATCAGTTTTTAATGTTTCCAACTGTAAGAAAATTCTATTCCAATCATAATTTTTTTATCGTTAGAAAACACAGAGGGATACTTTGTAAACATAATTGGTAAGTAGAAGCAAAAGGGAAAAGAGAAGAAGGAGGTTGGCAATAACCTTGAAGTTGACCTTAGTGTCCATAGCCATGAATATATTATCAGGTTTACCATCAGCATTGCAGACTTCAGAGTTTGAGAAAAAAATTACTTGTATGATAATAGTACTTAATTTAATTTCTGTACTGTAAGTTGGTTTTGGACTTAAAATCTACTTAGTCAGGTTCAAGGTTGGCTAGATTTTCTCTTAGAGCATTTTTTATGAAGTAAAATACTATTTGACTGCTTTTACTTAGTATTTTTACTTTGATGACACGAGAAACAGTACCAGTATTGCATAGACTAAAATAAAATAAATAGAAACCTCAAGTTCTTAAGTTTGTATTGTTTACTTTTGTATGATGTGTGATTTGTAGCAACATGCAAAAAGACATTTGATTACAATTTTAAAAATCCAAAGAAAGCTTTAAGAAGTGAAGGTGGGAATTACATATTATTTCTATACTCAATGTGAAATATTAAATTTGTCTAATACCATTTTTGCATTGGTGCATAAAAGTAATAGATTAATTATCAAAACTTACTTAACCTTTTAGTTCTTTTGATTACTCTAACTTCATCTAACTAACTATTTTACCATTGTGAACCAAAGATTTCAAACATTCAGTATCTACCAACCTGTTGAGTGAAACTAGGGGTGTTAGGGTCTTCTTGACTTGGATATGGAGAAAGTTTGACCTAGATATCACTGGGCAAGGTGAAGTTCTTCAAAATGTGCTTTACTTAAAATTGAACTCAAAATAAATTTGACCCAATTAGTAACTTCTATTTTAATGAGTTCGTAGTAGATTCTAATGTAACACTGGTTAAGGTGAAACAGAAATTACAGCTGAAAAATAGCCTGTGGAATGAGCAAATTTATAATTGTTTTATTAAGTTTTTATTCAAAAACGTTCTTAATATGTTATCAAACAAGTATTATACAGTGTTTAATTCTCCAAAAGGGTATCATGAGAGACAATGTACTGTGTTTATTAATTGTTATTTCTTGGAAACCTAAAATATAGGTGTAGGATTAAATTGTTACTTAATTTTTACCAAGGATGAATGTTCAAAACATATTGGTAAACTTTGAGGGGAAGTAAAAAAAACTAGTTTTTGTAATGCAAAATCCCTCCCCCACAAATCCATAACTTCATGGCCAGATTGGGTGGTTTGTGAACTAAATCAAGAATCAAATAGCTAATCGGTTTAAACACATTTTATCCACATTAAAAATTGGATGATTTGTATAGGAACTTTTTGTGTCCATGGGCACACATATATATATTGAAAAACGCATTCCTCCCAAGATCTCCCAGCCTTATCACGATAACTATAGCAATAGTTACTTCCCTACACTGCTGAAGAAAGAATGTACAAGGAAAATGTCAACTCTTTCCAAGTCCGAATTTGTATCCAAAATAGGCTCTTGGGCCACAGTTTATCTTTATTACCCTGTTTAGCAAAGATGCTAATGGCATTAACTCTGCTCCTAATGGCTGGAAGATTTCAAACAACAACAAGATAGAAGCATTTTTGGTCTAAAAAGCTACTAATTGTGGAAACCTTTGTTTCGAAACTAAAATATTTGCTACATTAAATATGTTTTGATATAAATATTTTGGTTCCTTTCTTGGAGAAATAACTCTTGAGGTTATACCTTAGGGCTTCTCAAATTCTAGGTTACTAGTATTTTGTTATACATTGGACGTGAAAGGTATGTTTTAAGCATTATGTAGTTTCTACCACCTAAAACCGATAATTCTGTATAGTTGAAAATTGTGGATACAGGGTGATTGATATAAGTGTGCGAGCTGATTTATTCAAAATTTATAAGAGATATAAAAAAATGTTAAATTATAACTGCCTTGGTTTTTTTATTTAAAAAATTTTGGTCAAGTTGGAAAAATAATTTTAGTTGCCATTTATCCAATATGGCAGCCAACTTTGATTTTTCTTATAGAAGACCCCATATCTTATGAATTCTTTTGAAAGTAAATGCCATTTAAAAACGTTTTTATTCCTGGCATTTTTTTCTCTAAAGCTACTCATTTAGGAGTTACAGCATGTTAAAACTAAGAACAAATTTTAAAATACCGTAAGAAAACTAAAATATATAGTTTTTTTATTTTTAAATTTTATGTCATTTTGAAATAATGGAATTAATGGTCTTTTTAGAATGTAGATGCAATTTTGAGACTTATTTACTCTTAGCATTTTCTCTCCAAACTTACTCGTATAGGAGCTACATGACGCAGAATGTACACGGCAAGTTATTTTTTCTTAGTGTTAACACACTGTAAATCCTAAATGAGTAGCTTTAGAGAAAAAATGTCAAGAATAAAAACGTTTTTAAACGGCATTTACGTTCTAAATAAATCATAAAATATAGGGTCTTCCATAAGAAAAATCAAAGTTGGCAGCCATATTGGGAAAATGGCGGCTAAAATCATATTTTCAACTTTGACCAAACATTTTTAAACAAAAAATCCAAGGCAGTTACAATTTAACATTTTTTGATATTTTTTGATAACTTTTGAATAAACAGGTTGCACACTTATATAAATCACCCTGTATAGCTTATACTAATCCACAAACTTGAAAACTTGCTTTGAGACAAAATTGGTGTCAATGGTGTCATCCACAGGACATATGTCTAACTGTCACTTAAACCAAGCAAACACTTTATTCAATATTTGCATTATATAAATATAGAATGGCATCAATGATTATACAATTAAAATTAATTCTAGGAAAAAGTAGGCTATTCAATATGCTCACTAAATGAGTATTGTAGTAACATTTGTGCATTATAAATATTTTCAATTTATTTTTAAAAGTCTTAATATTATTAATTTCTACAATATATCTAGGCAACGAATTAAAAAAAAACCAAGTACCTGCAGTTGTAGGTTTTTTATTATAAAACTCTAAATTATGTCTGGATGGTGGGTAGTTCCGAGGCCTAGTATTATAATTATTATGTGTGACTCCCAGCTAGTGCATTTCTATTCATTTCACTTTTTAGACTAATTATAGTTTTATAAATATGTAATCCATACTCTGTAAATATATTTAATTAAAAAAATACTGTTTCGCCGATTGGTTGTTTCCTAAGTTTAACATAATGTTTATGGCTCTCTTTTGTAAAATTAATATACTATCTCGATTTTCAATGGTTGTTGCACCATATAATTTAATACCGAATGTAATAAGTGAGTGTACTGTTTTACGATTTTGAGGAATTATAATTCAAAGCTTTCTGAAATATGGCTTTTTCACTTTACCCAATTGGAAAGATTGTGTTCTTGTATTTAATTCAGTGCGACCTCGGTTTTCTATTCGGTTTTCTAAAAGCTAGAAAAGATTTGAAAGAATTTTCATGGTCAGGATTTTTTTACGATTTTCGCTACTTTTCCCATTCTAAGTAAATTCTTTTTGCAAACATTATTAATATTTTGTATATACTCTGGTTTACTTAAAGTTTTATCCCCCTATCGTACTTCCAAACCCCCTCCCTAATATTATATCCTCCCCCGCCCCAATGTTATTCTTACAGGTGCATAAGTCTAAATCACGTTTACCCATTTCTAGATTAACTGGATGTCTGAAATTTGGCCCGATTGTAGGTCTTGCGCCCTGTCCCCGTGGCTCATTTATCCCCAACCAAAAAAGGGGGCCTAGGGGCGGAGCCCCCAGCGAGCCAAAGGCGAGTATTTATTTATACAGCTAGAGTACACACCTGACCAAAAGGATGGTGTGGCAACATAATGTTATGTTTTTAAAACATACTAACACTTTTTGAATTTTTCAGATGCTGTTTTTGTGGTGCGTGCTATATCTGGTGGTGCCTTCAAGTTTTGCAGCCCTACACCCCATTTCTCCCTGTCCCAGTATATTTCACTATGAGGGGACACAGCCCGAGAATGAAAGGTGGTACGGGGTAGTGCTGCTAGACACGGAAGAGTCGCTAGTTGGAGTTCGCATAGACATAAGATTAGACCGCAGAGCGGAAGTGTTAGTGGTGAGTATTTGAATCATGGTTTTACTATCAAAAAGGTTGCCAATGGTTCTTTTTATCATGTTATCAGTGACAATGACGTTCTTTTATATACTTATAGTTTATGAAATGTTTAAAAACAATTTATCCCAACTAGTGATTGTCTTATACCTTAATACACCCAGTCCTTTACAAACAGAGGAGAATGCCCATAATGACTGAACATTGACTTAAAATGCTTGGGCAATCTTTTATTTTGTACAGATAAAAAATGTCCTATTCATTCTGGAAATTTCCATAACAAATTTAATATGTTTTTATTATCAACCAATTTTTATTGCATGTGCAGGCTGCTCTTGCCTACATCTACTGATTTCTTCTAAAACTTCAATTTAGAGCGATTGAAACACTTTTGAAAATTTAGATATAACTTTTTTATGTTGCAGAAATTGAAACTATCACTGTGGGTTCATTGATCAATGTTATTATTATAATAAACTGCTGAATTTTGAGTACTTAACACGTTCGTTGCAAAAATCCCATTGCAAGGCAGTCGATAATGCTACGCAGCCTCGGCGCATCAGCGATCAGCGAACGCAATAGTCATTAAAATATTTCAGTCTTGACTGCGGCGGTAATGGTTCTGTGTTACCCCGAGAGTGGACGTAGTCATCAGCAGGGAACGTTTTAATCTAAAAATCAGTTTGGTTTACAGTCATGGATGGGTACAGTAACTACAGAAGACAATGAGCGTTTCACAATCCTCAGCCTGGACCAGAAGCTACACCCAGGGCCTCCCACTCCCTCTCGCCTCATGGTGAAGTTCAACCCAGTCAAGGGTCCGCCTCAGGTGCAATCAATAAGACTAAACGGACGACAGATTTGTCCACCTGACCCCAGTGAGTACAAAGCTCTTGTCAATATTGTACTTTACTAATTAACTTAATAAAAGTAACTTTGCTTTGCAAACTTAGTGTAGAATCATAGTTCTATTCGTGTTATCATTGAGCGTGTTACACAGAGCTGCAAAAGACACAGTAATTAAATTTAAAGTTTCCACAGCTTGCAAGAGAATCTAATATAAGCTAGTTTAGATGAATTCGCTAACACTTTCTAAATACTTTACTCTCTTTTTTCGCCATACTCAGGATAGGTGTAACTTGAGGAAATAAAAGTTTTAGTCCCTGAAACATTTGATTTTATTTTTCATCATCCAGTACAGAAAGTAACAATTTTCGATAACAGCTGATATCAAAGAAACTAGTTGTTTCCCAAGCTCTAATTTAGAGCGACGGAAAAATTATCAGTAGATTTTCCCTTGTTCTAAATTTACTTTCCCTTGCCCTCGAATAGTTCTCAATTTATTCACTACGCGTAATAATGTTTTGTTATGGTTTATTTTAATGATTAAAATCAGCAGTTTTCATTTTTGCGCAATGAATGTATACAGAAACAGGCATTAGTTTGTTTTGCTGTGTTTTAGCATAGTGCGTGTTTGAAATTGCTTAAAATTTGTCTAACATTCCTGAAGATTTGATGAAAACAGCTTCAGAGGTAACTAATCACATTCCACCAGAGAAATCACGGGAAAGATATGAAGAAAGTTTACAAACTGGTGAAAAATTACAAAATGTTTTGTCAATTAAAGTAAATGAAGAAGTAGTTATTAATATACTAATCTAAAAAAAATCTGTAATCATAAACTATATACATTGTGAAGTAGATTTTCAATGATAATGAGTGGTCTAAAACTATTTTAAAAGTACTGAGGAATGAGGAAAGCTATTCTGTATGAAATTTGGTTTTCCTGTGTTCGGCTTTTCTCACACATGAAACTTGAGTGTGCACGACGGAAAATGCCACTTTTGGTCCTAGTAAAGAAATATAGGCTACTATTCCTTAATAAAAATATTGGAAACACATTTGCCATGTTTCAAAGGGATACACTAAAAACTTACTTAAATATCAACACACAATGTCAGATAATGTACAGAAAGGATTCCTCTTGCTTAGGGCTACATTATAAAATTACACTGTGAAATTGTCTATCAAGTACAAATATAAAAGGTTTAATTTACCTGTTGCGTCGATTGATCCTTAAGTTATAAAATAACTGCGGCCGTTTCGTGATCGCTTGGCAGCACGAAACGCTCAGTAGCTTACATGTTTTGTTGCGAATACTGTACAACCTAGTCAAAAACACAATTAAAATAAACACAACACGAACATAAAAACGGTTCCAATACACAAACATTTAGATAATACTGAGTTAGTCCAGCAAGGAACGGGGTTTGGTAGTAGGTCGCTTAGATAGCACTATATATTTTGTTGTGTATTTGTACCATTTTTATGTTCGTGTTGTGTTTGTTTTAATTATATTAGCGAATTTCCCATACAGGGAATAAGCTATTACCGTAGTACTCATGGTAAAACCTGGACCCGGGACCGATTTACTTTTTTGTTTTGAGGTCCCTAGAGGCCAAAAACACCATCTGTTTAAATTCATATTTATATATATATATATTCATATATGTGTCCGTTAGCGCGATAACTCAAGCAAAAATCAACCGATTTTGATGAAATTTAGTACAAAGAATAAACCTATGCTTATTCGAACGACTTCGCAAACCAGCATGATCGGACTATGGGAACAGGGGTTTTATGGGGTAAAAATTGGTTTTTCCCATTTTTGACCCTAAAACATAAAATGTTTGAATTTCTTTCCCAACCATTTTGTAGAGCTTAAAAAAGAAATAATTTAGTATATTGAAGCATTGTTGTATTCCTAAAGGTTACAGAGAAAATTCAAAATAAGTGTAAATTTAAAATTCTCATGTTATTCTTATGGAGAAAATTGTAAACTGTTGTAGTTTGCTTGTTTATGAGCATGTTTTGATCAAAATTCGAAAATGCATTAATTTAATACTAAACTATTAACATTTTTCAAAAAAACACCTTTTTGCCCCCCCTGTTGCAGCAAACCTAAGTACTCATTAAACTGTGATATTTTTAAGGAGACATTTTAGTGTAAATCCAATCAGGCAAATGGAAATTTGCTTAGTCTGCACGTTTGCTGCAGCGGGGGTATTTTTGACAAGTTGCAGGCTTTGAAAATTTTGTCTTTGAAGGCACTGTGCAATTTAATTGTTGGACTATTTGACAGAGGTATGTAAAACCTATTTATGTCTTGACAAAATAGTCCAGTGGCCAAAAATATTAAGTTTGATAAAAATTTAATTTAGAGCAGAATCTAGAATTTAGAGCAGTGAATTAAAGAGAATCACACCACCCAACGACTTGCAGCTATAACAGCCATGAAATGTATCACAACAGGCTTCCAGCATATGTATAAATATGTATTGAATAGAAATACTGTAATTATACTTCAGCATATCTAAGAATTTTTTTTTCATAATTGTAATACAAGTATGTTCAACAGATTTCTCTCCTGATGCTCAGACTAGTGGGCAAGACCACTTGTATGAGAATAGATACACAACAGAGAGAGTGACTAGGAGACCAGATCCGTCATTTGAAGACGACTGGACCAACTCTAGACCTCAAGTGAATCCCTCCAGGGCTCCAAGCCCTAGTGACAGCTATAAACCTCCGCGACGAGAGAGCCCAGTTAGTGGGGGCTATGGTAGCAGCGGGGGTAGCAGTGGAGGAAATAGTGGTGGGGGATATGGTAGCAGTGGGGGAAATGGTGGAAGCAATAATGGTGGGGGCTATGGTAGCAGTGGGGGCAATAGTGGAAGCAATAGTGGTGGGACCTATGGTAGCAGTGGGGGCAATAGTGGAAGCAATAGTGGTGGGACCTATGGTAGCAGTGGGGGCAATAGTGGAAGCAATAGTGGTGGGGGCTATGGTAGCAGTGGGGGCAATAGTGGTGGCACAGGGTCTATCTACCAAAAGGACAAACCTACCGGGAGTCACGGCTACAACTCCTACACGGAGAGAGAACCAACTCGCTCAACGACTTACAGTTATGACAGCCATGAAACATATCACAACAGGCCTTCAGGATCTTCCAGCATAGACGCCAACAGACCAGGATCTTCAGGGGGACAGAGTAACAACAGACCTGTCAACGAAAACGCCTATGTCAGTCCTGACACTTCTATAAACATCAACATCAATCCAGCAGGAAGTGGTTACAATTCCCATACGAGTGGAGGAAACAGACCTTCAAATGAGAGAGAACCCACCTACACAAACAACGTGTATCCCAAGACCACGGAGAAATACCACGAAGAGAATCCCGGAAACAGGGAGGACGTTTACGTGAAACCCACAACAAAAAAACCTGTCGTGGTAAACACTAATACCAATGTAGTAATAAGCATACACACTAATGACGACGGGAGTGTAGTAACTACAAGTGGTTCAAGAACTACGACTAAGAGGCCTTACGGAAGCAGTAGCGATACCATCAATAATAATAACAACAGTCGTCAAACGACTAGCAGACCGACTTATTCTGACAATCAAAGACCCAGTAATACCGTGTATCAAAACAGACCTAACAGAAATCCTGAAATATCCTCTTCAGAAAGTCAGTATAAACCTGGGTATGGACAAAATAATTATGGGCAGAGTAATAACGATCGAACAACGGAGAAGAATTATGCTAACAATAACAATAGGCCTAGCAGTAATACTGAAAATAGTGGAACTAGACCTGTAGCTATTCCCAGCAACAGACCATATAGTGGAAATGACAATCAAAAGATTCCAAGACCCCCAGTAACCTCTGGACAGAAACATGGGTATGTATTAATAGATATACATTTCTCTACCCTTCTATTAGTTCACAATAAGTAGTCTAGTGAGGTTAAGTATTTGAATAGTGTGAAGGATGTGTGTCAACACCTTCATTAATATATTATGGTCCTTACTCCATAGGGAGTTATAAGCCAATAAATTGTCAACTTGTATACAACCAGGTATATATAGTCAATGATACAACACTAATTCTTAATGCTACAAGATTGCCCATTGATGCCTCCTATAGCTAACACATAAAAAATCCATTCTCATTAATCAATATAATTTTTAATGACATATAAACAGGATCATCTATTTCTTTAAAATCAATCCTCTTTTACGTTAAAGAACTTTTTTTCATTTGTTGGGATAGTAAGTAAGACAGTTTTTGCGTTTAAAACGTTGTATGTAGTATAAAGTTCTAGGTTATAGTTTTCTTAAATGTAATCAGCCAGTTGTTTTGGAAGGTTTAAACAAACCACCTAATTCCACAGCTCAAAATGCAAATAATGCAATATTGGTCAGGTTCTTGGGAAAAACATACACCTATAGGTTAAATAGTACATTCTAATTGTTTACGTCATCTGTAAAAGGTGTTGTTTTAGTTTAAAAAATAAATTATGGACTCTTAATACATCTAGGGGATTACTTTTGGGAACAATTAGTAAATATTTTTTACTCAGAACAGATTTAATATCTTAAAACATTGATAAATACAAAGCTAAGAGTAGCTAAGTCAGTTGTCACACTCCTTCCAACATTGGCCCTGGTGTTTCCCCACAACAATAGTTTATATGACAGGTTGTTAGGTTAATGTGGTATTTAAGTTGGTAAGTCTTTGTCCAGCAGAATAATCCACAATCACTAGCTTAAGCAGAGAAGTAAAACTAAATAGTTCATACTTAAAGTACAAATCATAAATTGCATCACCTCTTAAACTATGCCTTACCAATATCTGAGGGCCTTAAGTAAAGGCCATTTAAGGTTTTGCGTATAGCTCCGTAGTTCTGGCTTATGCAGCAATGAGGCTCCTCGCCGCTTACTGGCATCATTGGTGAACAAAATGACACCATTTGCAGCTATGTAGCTGACGTGTACGCTTTGCTGTTGTTTTTTAAATTATTGAATCTTCCAATTTTCAATCATCTTCCTAATGTTTAAGGTATAATTCTCTGTTAATAAAAAATGTAAAAAATAATCAATCAAATATATTTTTAGTGATGACGGGGACCTGATGGCGTCCAACTCGAATATCAAGTGTGGTCAGGTGGCCGTCAACCCAGCGCCTCTCATCACTCACGGTCAGAACACTGCGCGTGGTCAGTGGCCGTGGCACATCGCGTTGTACCGCATAGAAGGCATCAACCTGAGCTATAGTTGCGGAGGCTCTCTCGTTAGCCCCACAGTTGTGATCACAGGTTTGTTATCTGCTTGGATATATCACTTTTAATTAATATTGAATTGTATAAATATGTTTGGTGAGGGTAAAATATTTATTCTATTTACTTTAGAAAGTGTGGGGATGTAAATTCCCACTGACAATCCTTCGATATTAAAGTTGACTGTGTGCCAATGGAGAAATAAATGTGAAGGACCAGCCTAGTTATTCTAGGCAGAAAATAAGATGTAATAATAGGCCTTCTGGCGTATAGACAACATACTGTAATATTATCAGGTCTACAGTAATATTGAAATATTGGAAATAGCTGTCCTATTCCTAGCTTCTAACCAGCGACATGTGAGGGAGGTGGGATAATATTACACTAAATATTCTACCAGTAGAAATAAAATGTTAAAGTCACTCACCATTGCTGCTGTGTTGTGCTATTACCTGGTTACCCAGATTCCTAGCCCTCAGTAGAATTGGATACTCCTGCTCACATCAGAATTAAGCGTGGTTCAGCCTTTCACGACACGTCCCGATCGAAAATCATGCACAGTTTTGCAGTGCGTAGGGAACTATGTCGCTCACCTTAGAAACTAAACCTAATCTGGACGATGTGTCCAGTGAAATTACAGTTTTGCTAATTAGACATGGAGACGGCAACGCCGTAGAGAGAAAAATAAAGAAAAATGGGTTTGGCAATGAGACAGAAAAAGAGACACGGACCGATACGACAACCTCCCGCAACTTGCCGTCTTCGATTCAACAGGGGGAAGAAACAAGATACAGGGTTGGGGGGATCAGCTGTTTACTGATAACAAGGACATAGCTAGCCTAGCAGGATTGAGGGCGTGTCGGCAATGCATTTAAAACTTAATCGTGTTTTGTTTTTTATTGAGTCTCCCTTTAGAGTTCTTGTATGTCCTTAAAATTTATATAAAATAAATATGTGGCTTTAAGTACCTAATTCTTCATAAACACAGAAGAAAATGAATGTTTTCTTTACAAAGAGTTGTTTAGCCTCCGGATTACTGTATTATACTTATAATCGTTTACAATACCTGTATGTGGCCAAAACAGCAAAAAAGGATCACCATATGCATAGGTATTGTAAACCATTATGAATGTATTGATTAATAACTCTCGTTTGGGTATAGATCGAAACATTTAGAGTACTAAGATGAATGTGCTACTTTAGAACTCTTCTCCTTCCAACCCATTGCTTTTTGTTATTTTGTAAGTCATGCCAAAAGTTGCTGTAAGATCCCATTTAATAAGAGTATTCAGGTTGAAGAGAGTGTTGGGGAAGTTTTCTGTGTCCACCTTACAAGCCATTATAATTTACATGATCTTTACTTGCCTAAAAACCTTCACCACTAGGTTTGGCAGTGTCTATATTTAAAGCAAAATGGTTAGGTAACTGAGAAATTTATAAAATAGAATGTGGTGAAAATGTTAAAAATCTCTCAGTTTCCCCGTTGTCAAACACGTTTATAGCCTGAAGATTTTCTTCCATTGAAACCAATAACTTCTTATGTTTTAAAGCCATTATCACTAACAATATAAAAAAAACTGACAAAGTAAAAATTCTCCATCTGTAACTGTCAAATAAAAAAAAAACGATCTTCGTCTACTCAACAAAGATCTTTGTTTGCTTTGTGACTAAGACACAAGGTATAAGAGATAGGTATGACGAGTTAACCAACTTTGTGTGCAGCACACTAAAAGAATCAGAAAGCCATTGGAGGTGTCTGAAGCATGAAATTTATCTTCCAAGTACACATGAGGGGGGGCAAAAGGGGGTTCTTGACGTATTTGCTATGGTGTAAAATCATACCTCACAGAAATAACACACAATGTTTCATTACCCAATCGTTCACAGTGAGAGTCAAATCACTTGAAAGGTCAAACAGGGAGGTAATTGATGATAGATAATTAAGACGTTGCTGTAAAATGGAATATGTTTATTATTTATCCAACATTTATCAAACAAAAAATATTCTAGAGCTTACCATACTTCATAAATTATTTTGCCTTGAGTGGTGCAAACTAAAAACCGGTTAAGGAAATGTTCAAGGAGTGCAAAATATAAAATAAACAATCGCATGTTTGCAGCTGCTCACTGTGTGACCAAGGCCCCACGAGACCGGCCTGTGGATGCAGATATCTTGGTTGTCCAGCTCGGAAAGTACCATCTTTATCAGTTCAGCGATGATTCTGTTCAAAACAAACAGGTTTGTACATCTAAATAGCAACAGACAGAACAGTTTGCACTGTTCACGTCACTTTTGTACTCTAGTTGTTTAATGTAAGAATGTTAATGTTCACTTACAAGTGGTTTCAATTTAAACGCTTTATTCTCTAATGCTACTAAATGAGAACAAGGAATTAATCTTTGTAGGACAATCTGCAAGTCAAGTGTATAAGCGTCATACTTATAAGAGAGCCATACAAAGAGGAAGTTCCGTTTAACCATCCTCATAAAACAAACTAATTGGGGATCCAACTCTTCTAGGTTTTTGAAAGTTTGAATTACATTTATCTTAATATCAGTTAGGCCAGGTGCACACAGGCGATTTTGAGTCTAGCAACAGTTGCCCAACTACAGTGGAGTCCCGATAATCCGAACTTCGGTAATCCAAAAGTCCGCTTAATCCGAAACTAAAAAATATATTTTTTAATAAAAAAAAATTTATTAAAATTTTAAATCTTTTTAAAATAAAATAAAAAATTAATTTTTAACACAGTTAGCTGTACCTCCTCAAAGTATTCTGTAGATAGACTTTTTTGTGGAGTTTTTAGTAAATATTTCACCATTTTTGTTATTAACATTTTTCATTTTCGTCCCGAGTTCCAATCCCGCCAAATCACAAATGGATTTTACTAAGTGATAATGCTGCAGCCGCTGGGTCTAGCCTTAAGTAATGTGAAAAACAATCCCGGGCTCGTGCCTAGGGTCCTAAGACAAAAAAAAAAAATTAAAAATGAAAAAAAAAATTAAAATACATTTTTTTTAATTTTCCAATTTTTTTTTAATTTTCAAAAAGTTAAAAAAACAAGAAAAATGTGTAATCCGAAATATTTGGTATTCCGAAATGGGTCCGGTCCCAACCATTTCGGACTAACGGGACTCTACTGTAATTGGGGGACTGTTCCGCAACCCACTCAGAGACTCTGAAGTCTAGCGACAGTTGAGCTGGAGTGCGCACCCAGGCAACTTTAAAGTCGTGAATCTAAAGTCTTAAGACGTAAGTTGGACATTACATTCGCTATCATCGTTAACAGTACCGAATGGATTTCAATGATACAGCCGTAGTATGTGCTTTGTTGTTGAAGTTGTGATCTTTGATTTTATCCTCTTGTATTAGGTTCTTCCAATCTTTCGTAACTGCCAAAGACACTTCATCCCACAACTTCTTCTTCAAATTAATATCCGAATAGTCTTTCAATGACTCTAAATATAAAGACGGCCTCTTTTCAGCTTCATCAATTAATTGTTTGACATCCTCATCACGGGCACTCATATTTAAGAAATTTTCTAAAAACTTCACACAACAAAAAAAGAGCAAACACTAGTGACAGTTCTGCCCACGAGTAGCTGAATTCCTGGGGTGGTCTGAGCGACACAGCGACAATTTAGTCGCATGTGTGCACGTCTACACTTGTTTCAATGGATACCAAACCTGGAGCGACAGTCCCGCGACAATTGAGTCGCAGAGCTGTCTCTGGCAAATTGGGTTCTGGGAACATCGGTTGCGACAGTTGCGCGACTGTCCCTAGACTGTTTCCTTGGTGTGCGCACTCCAATTTCAAACAATGTTGAACATTTTAGTCAGGCAACTGTTGCTAGACGCCTATGTGCGCCTGGCCTTAAGGCAGTGCTATAGTCTGTATGATCAAACCTGTCTCCTGACCTTTTGTCTACCTGGGGACTACTAGGACTAGTCAGTGGGATGGGCCAGTACCCAGGTTCTGGAAGGATCAGGAGACATGTTCAATCACACAGACCATAATACAGGACCGTTCTGGAACCCCATGTATGTAATTAAACAATTTTTACAAGAAAAAGCTTGAATAATGTTGTCTGAATTTTTAAATATAAATAGTAGTTGTATAGTATTCTAAATGTAAAGTAGCTGTGTGGTTAACTTTGGCACATTCCCAACTTAGTTGTATGAAATTTCTATTTTTAAACTAAATTACATTCTTCAGTGAGGGACAAAAAACTCACTAGTGCTGGTGGCAGTGACATCGTTGTGCTATGAATATTATATAGGTACTTTTGTACTCTATTTGTTAAATTTAAGAGTGTGCATGATTTAAATGGTAATTTAAATCTTTTTTATCCTCCACAGCTACTACAGTAATGAGAATAAGGGAACCAAAACTAAATTGTAAAAACGTCAACCTTATAAGAAAGCCCTTTTTGAATCACATTTAAGGGTGATAAACTGTCTGTTAACTTCTGACAATAATCATATTTTATTTGAGTTATCGGTGTGGGTTGTTTGATTGAAGTTTATTGTTTTAAGATTTATTTTGTTTGTAGGTTCGAGATGTCCACGTTCATCCAAGTTACAACAGTTCCAACTATCTTGACGATGTCGCCATCTTGATTCTCTCAACTCCGGCAGAATATACAAAGTTTGTTCGACCAGTGTGTCTTTGGCCTAAGCACAACTTTAATCTTCCAAATATTGACAATAAGGAGGGAACTGTAAGTTATAGTTTTTTATAGAGTTGTTTTTTTCATCTCAATTTCTCTTGACAAGTATGTTCATCTTGTAAAAAGTCTTGATTAAACATATATCTTTTTGTTTGAGGAAATGTTAAAGCTGGTTTTACAACAGTTGAGGAAAAGACATTCTAAAACAATGATATAACTTGAACAAGTATGTGTTACTTATTCTGACAAATAAAATGCCCGTCACTTGATTATGATTGTGGTTTGTTCCATTAATATAAAGCACATAGCTGTATTGGTTGCAAACACTTTAAAGAGGTATAGATAAGTATCATAAAAATAGCTGCCATTATAGGTATAGAAGGTAGCGAGCTGGTCTAGTGGTAGAGTGTGGGGCTACGGTGCCCGAGGTCCCGGGTTCAAATCCTGCCAATCACCAAATGAATTTTATCCATATGATAATGCCGCAACTCACTAGGACTATTCTGAAGTAATGTGTAAAACAGTTCCGGGCTAGAACTCGCGTCCTAGGATGTGACGGTGGGACATTACAAAAAAAGTATAGGTATAGAGTTATATCTGACTTGACTCAGCCACCTACCCCTCCTAAATATAGAGAAGCATTTTTTATATACAAAAAATAAAATGAGCAAGCACATAAAGAAGATTTAACTTTCACACAAAATACTAGAATGTGATTGGTTAAAGATTTATATTTTTTTAGTTATCCGATTGGTTGTAGATTTATATATTTGTAGTTATGATTGGTTGTTAATTAACATTTTTGTTACTCACTAAGACCTCTTTTATGCACAACGTTTTCGGTCGGGCGAAATTGTCGAGCGGAATCTAGGACCCTTTTATGCAGTTTTTCCGCCGAGCGGTGGGAGTGTCAGTGTTGCCAACTTTGTTCATTTGGCCATCATCAGTCACCCAAAATGGACTCTTGTTTATTAGTTTTGACCAATTTACATTTGGAGAAAAATAGACGACAAAGAAGGAAGTGGGCTGTACACCCGGTGAATTGAAGTCTTAGGTTGGATGGGGCTTTTGCAAATTTATATGGTGTGATGCGAAATGATTGTATTATTACGAGGATTTAAACAAAAATTTAAACTTGATCATACTCACCATTTAAGTTTTTTTACAATTATATCACTTCTTTAGCTGTATTCACAATATCGCTGTATCAATGATCAATAAATCGACAAATAAATGCACTAAAAATTAATTACCCATCTATTTACAACGATTAGGGGATTTAGATATTGTGGATGACAGTGCTCGGGGTAGGTTGGCAGCGCTGTGTTCTGCCCAACAGAAAATGCTGAGGCATAAAAGGGTTCCATTTGGTCCTATGTAAAAAAACTCGGCGGAACGTAAGTTTTCCACCCGCCCTGGACGGAACGCTGAAACGTGACACAGAATCTGTCGTGAATAGAAAGGTCCAATTTGATCTCATGTTAAAAACTCCCTGACAGTATGCCCAATGGATTCCGCCCGACAGAAAACGTCGTGCATAAAAGAGGCCTAAGATCAGCTGTTTCTCAGTCAGTAACAAAGCTACTAAGATCATCTCACCCTGTTGTACACTCAGTGATGAAATTTGAGGTACTGGAACAGAAAACTAGCTGCAGACTTTGTTCTTCTATTAAGTCCTCCACTATCTTCTATAATTATCTTATTCCCTAGTCAATTGCTGTAGTATAACCATGTAAAATTATTAAATAAATTTGCACCATCAGTGTTGTGTCTTAGTAAGTACTTATGTTACCTACTAACAAAAACATATTTTAGAAAATGTTATTTAAAATGTTTTTAGTTTAAACGTTAAAACATTTTCTCTAGAGGGAGAGATATGTCCTGGAACACCTTCCCTTGGAGTATCTTCTTAAATCGAGTCATGCGTGGACAGTGGCGGTCCAAGGATTTCATTTCAGGGGGAAGGGAGGATGACCACTGGGTGGTCTGGGGGTTGGGAATATCCAGAAAAAAGGGTCCGGGATTGAAATGTTGCATTTAAAGCCTAAAAACATATTTTTATACGTATTTGAGCTCTAAAATATGCTCAAGCTAATAGTATTTATATTAGCTAATAAAATATCAAATATTCCCATCCACCCACTGGGACCGCTAGTGTGCATGGATTTATTAATGATTGTCCAAATTACATCTATTTCGTTTCATGTAACATTTCACATGCTAAATATAACATTTCACATGCTAAATATAACATTTTGTGTTTGACGACAGGTCGTTGGCTGGGGTTACGATGAAAACAACCAGGTGACGGAGGAGCTGAAGATGGCCCGAATGCCAGTCGTCTCTTACGTCACTTGTCTCAAGAGCTATCCTCAGTTCTTCTCCCAGTTCACAGCTGAGAACAAGACTTTCTGTGCTGGATTCAGACAAGGTACATCGATTAAAGGTGAAGGGAAATGTTGACTAAAGTCAATACTAGCTTTAAGCCACTAATCCAATTTTAACCCTTTTATTGCTCCAGAGTCGCTGACAGCGCCGTGCTGAAAAGTTCTAGGGGATTTTGACCAAATAAGCAAGCTCTTAGAAAAAATTCATATCCCCCTTATTGTTTTATATATTTGAACCAAATATCTTTTGTCTTTTACACAAATAAATGTACTAAAAAGTAATGACCCATCTTTTACATTTTTGGTACACCCAAACAAATATTTTTACAACAGAAAACGAGCTATCACGATCCATTTTTTACACTCTAGGCTATGGAAAACATTCACCAACAATGCATTTTACATTGTAGTCGTTTTGGTTTTATGAAAATGAATCACTTACAATAACTATATACATCTAAAAACACTACACATACTAACTTTGGAAAACATAACTTAAGAAATATCTTTGTTCCAAAACAAACAACAGCGAAAACGTAATTCGTCACAGCGTCACTGCGCACAAAGAAACAAAGAATTAAAAAGTAAACAGCTGACCGCTAGCAACAGTAACGGAGGGAAATGTCTGGCGATCGATAATTTGAAGCCTTTGGAACATACTGACGAATTAACCAGCCAATTAAGTCCAGGGCATCGATGCGTACTATACGAATTATGAATAGTTAAGTTGCTCTCAGCGACACTCACACATTAAGGTAAAAACACATCGTTGCGGTCAGCGACTCTGTAGCACTAAAAGGTTTAAAGGTTCAATATTTCAAACTGATAAATACAGTAGACTCTCGATTACCCACAATAATGAGTGGCTGAGTGATCAAGGATAATCAAAATTGTGGATAACGCAAACCTAACCTAAAATGTGGTTACTAACTACTTTGAATGTATTTAAGCTTCAATACAGGTTTAGGCAATAATGAAACATTTTAAAGACAGTGTACACTCTTTTGACTTTGTTTCACACATGTCTATTTACAAAACAAGTAATATTGGATAGCCTATGTATAGGTCTATCAATAACAAAAATCAGAACACCCACAAAATGGAACTTACCAACTCATTGGTTGTAAATGGTGACTCATCAGTGGTTGGTGAAGTAAACAACGGCAATCTATAGTATCTTTAGTCTGACCATGAGGTGATGGGCTAAACATATTGGCTGATACTGCATAGTAACACGTTTAACTTGTATAGTGTATTTTTTCATTTAGTTTTTTTTTTTTTTTTTTTTTTTTTTTTGCAATTGTGGTTAATCCCCAATGTGGTTAAATTACTCGTGGGTAATTAATTGGGAGTCTACTGTAGTACTTTTATTATAAAAGTATAATAAACTACCTGTCGCCATAGACCTACTGGTCGTACTGTGATTTGGTAATAGTTAAGTACCATTATGGTGTTAGTCACCATGCTTGTGGCATGCTTGTGGTGACTGAAATATACTGTATGATAGTCTACGCTGTAGGTTTTGAAAAAGTAATGTCTAGCTTATAAGTCTTAAGACGTCTTTGGTGACAAAACCACCCAGCCGCCGTGTTCGGCAAAAATGATGATGATGTAAACATTTTTGAGAAAAATATAATATTTTGTTGTTGTGTGTAAAGGGTAAGTTAAAAGTTTACCCAAGCCTGCGTGGCAATGTTGTAAGTATAAAGAGTAATAATTTGTTAAATTTTTTTTGTTGATCTTTCAACATACTGCAATAAAAACATCTTTAAATAAATACTATTCATGCTTGGAAGCCATGTAAATTTACTAGACATGTGTGAATTTTATATATAATATATCACGGATATAAAATGAGGTTGTGATGGGTTGTTTCAAGGACAATATTTCAACCAAGTTGTTAAAAAAGTACAAAATTAAATCACAACTAAGTTTAAAATTCAAGAAAAATATGTTCTATGCACAATGTTCTTGCCAGCAGAAAACATGTTATTGCTTTTGAGTTTTGATTCTTGTGTTGAACATTGAAAAAAGTATTTGTTAATTGTTAGTCCCTAGGACCATAGGTTACTAGGTTACGTAATTTAGTCGATAGGTCAGTAGGATTGTCATTGGAAACACGACTAAAAGAGTGTACCAACCATGAGTCAAAACTCTGAACTTCAGGCTCCTGGGTTTCCATTAGTTTTATTTGATCAAAAATTAAATAAAAACTATTCGTAAAAGTAAGGTAACATGATACCATCTTCTCATCTCAGCTGATTCAGTCAGTTGAGTGTGTTGGAAAAGAAAGATAGAAATGGTGAGTCTTTAGGTGGGTCGGTGGTTCAGTCAGTAGTGCCTCAGATTTCAAACCCAAGGCAGCGAGGTTGTGGGTTCGGATCCTGGTCACTGCCACAATTTTTAACAGTAAAGTTCACCCTTGTACTGTACCGGCTCACCTCCTGGCTTTGCTGGATACGTTCCATACACAGGCCTCTGTGGTCCATATGGAAAGGGCAAATACAAGTTTAAAAGAGGCCGCCAACTTCTTTAAAAATATATATATATTCCCAGCTGATGGAGCCCGTCAATTATTGCCACTTGAATTGTCTTCCAAGAACAATTAATATATCACCCATAAACCATAACAAATTTTCCTACATCTCTAGTATTTAAATTATTCTTATATTTTATATTATCATGATTACTTTCCAATTTTCATTTTCACCTCATTCGCTGGTTTCTGATAAGTTGTTTCTATCAGCTGGGAAAGGAATTTACAATAGATCTCCACACCTCTTTCCACAGACCCAACTGTGGCTAGGGCCCACTTACTTCCAATATATTTTGCACAAGTTAAAACAATTTTCCGGCTGCAGGTACCAGTGTCTGCAATGGTGACAGTGGTGGTGGGATGGTCTTCCAGCAAGACGGGGTGTGGTACCTCCGTGGACTCGTCAGTATTACAGTTGCCAAGCAAGGGTTACGTGTGTGTGACACTAACCATTACGTTGTATTTACTGACATTTCCAACTACCTGGACTGGATTGCACAATATCTTTAAAGGAGGTTAGTAAAATGTTAATATTCTAGTTTTGATTTGTATAACCAAGGTTCAAATGTGCCTCACTAATTTGTTTATGTGAGCACTTTTGCTGTTGTCAAATGTATACATTTGATTTTTTAAGACACATTACTAGGGCGACACATCAATCAGAGGTGGAACAAGGGGTCTAGCATTGAATTGCGGTTTTAGGCTTACCAAACTATTTTCTCGGATGACCCTCGGCTCCGTCCCCTTTAATTGAGGGGGGTTCCATAGATTCCAGCAAGCCCTGCTGAGGGTACAACAAAACCTTGCAATGACACTGGTTCTGTCCTTGATCATATGGTTGGTTGTGAAGGGTTTCTTATACACTTTTATAGTTTTCAGGCAAGCAGGACAATAAAATCTGAGACCTGCTGACTGAATAGTAAAGCCTTAAAACTAGTAGTTACTAATAAATAAAAAATTAACATCTACATCCCAACAACTTGGAATTTAGGTTTTAATTAAGTTTTTACAGCCATCCAATGAATTTTTGACCGAGATAAACTCCCGGATATGATGAAATTTGGATGGTAAAAATAAAAAATCTAATTAATTTAAAGATAAAAAAATAAAAAAATTGATCTTTATTACATTTAAAAAAAGATGTACACAATCCCAATAAAAAAACTGATCAATTTCAATATCAATAATTTGACTCTTTCTTTACTTCAAAGTTAGTTTAAAGTTTATAAAAAATTCTCTCTTTTGTTATAAATCCCAAAACGGCTTTGCTTGCTCTGAATTGTTTAATCACTGAAACTGTCAATACATAAAATTCAAGCAGGTACTAAGAAACGCCATAATGTTGATTGATATGAGATAAAGTATGCAATACCAGAAATAAAACTTTTCTTTATAATGGTTTAAATACCTGCATTCAGTAATCCAATAAGCTGCTTGTAGCAACTATAGTTTCGGTTCACGGAAGGAACCATCTTCAGGCCGTACAAGGCGTCGTTATTCACTTCCATATGTGAAGGTCGTCATTTAATAAATAAGTACATAGAACACAAACACACGAAAACGCACATTGACACGAACATTTAACATTAAAAATACCGAGTACTCGGGAACACGAGACAGGTGACGCGACCGGGTGGAAGTTGTAGCTCGAAAGACACATATACAGACACAATATAAAGACACAATACAGCGTCATCTGTCTCGTGTTCCCGAGTACTCGGTATTTTTAATGTTAAATGTTCGTGTCAATGTGGTTTTCGTGTGTTTGTGTTCTATGTACTTATTTATTAAATGACGACCTTCACATATGGAAGTGAATAACGACGCCTTGTACGGCCTGAAGATGGTTCCTTGTGAACCGAAACTATAGTTGCCACAAGCAGCTTATTGGATTACTGAATGCAGGTATTTAAACCATTATAAATATTCAAACGTAATCCGGAGGCTAACAACTCTTAAAAACTTTTCTGTATTCAAGTTTTTTTGGAGGATTTTACTTTCTTTATCGTTATTGTCATTGGCTGCTCAACTCACTTTCTCACCTACAGCATGGATCCCCCTAAACTATATCTATTGTTATCAGATGAGAGGATATTCTAACACTGTAAATGTTCTACCTTAAATTGTTTTTAGTATTCCTATGTGTCTATTCTGTTACTATTTTAGCTTAATGCACTATCCTATTGGGTGAATTTCATTACCAATAAATACTAGTTCACCAATCATTACTTTAAATTAAATTATGTAAAAGTAATAAGATTAATGTTTGATGGAATCTTGAATGTATAACGAATAAACAAAAAGACTAACGGTTTTTTTTAGGGATGGACGGGATTGAATTTTTAGTTCGGGACGGGACGGGACGGGATTTTTATTTCCTTCCCGATTTTCGGGACGGGACGGGACGGGATTTTTTCCTGTGCATAAAAAGAAAGTACTGTATTGCAGTTACCAAAAAAGACATACGAAATCAATTTTTACCATTGTGGCACTGATCTATAAAAACCAAAAAATGGGTAACAATTTACAGGTACCTATAGAAACTTGTGACTCGCGGGTCACGAGGTGATTGTCTGTATGACTCACGGTCATGGCGCGATCGTCGTCATGACTCGCGGTCACGGCGCGATTGTCGGTATGACTTCGCGGTCACGGGGTTATCGTCGGAATGACTCCACGGTCACGGCGCGATCGTCGTCATGACTCGCGGTCACGGCACGATCGTCGGTATGACTTGCGGTCACGGCGCGATCGTCGGTATGACTCCACGGTCACGGCGCGATCATCGTCATGACTCGTCGTCATGACTCGCGGTCACGGCGCGATCGTCGTCATGACTCGCGGTCACAACGCGATCGTCGGTATGACTCGCGGTCACGACGCGATCGTCGGTATGACTCGCGGTCACGACGCGATCGTCGGTATGACTCGCGGTCACGACGCGATCGTCGGTATGACTCGCGGTCACGGCGCGATCGTCGTCATGACTCGCGGTCACAACGCGATCGTCGGTATGACTCGCGGTCACGGCGCGATCGTCGTCATGACTCGCGGTCACGACGCGATCGTCGGTATGACTCGCGGTCACGACGCGATCGTCGGTATGACTCGCGGTCACAACGCGATCGTCGGTATGACTCGCGGTCACGACGCGATCGTCGGTATGACTCGCGGTCACGACGCGATCGTCGTCATGACTCGCGGGTCACGACGCGATCGTCGGTATGACTCGCGGTCACGGCGCGATCGTCGTCATGACTCGCGGTCACGGCGCGATCGTCGTCATGACTCGCGGTCACAACGCGATCGTCGGTATGACTCGCGGTCACGGCGCGATCGTCGGTAGGACTCCGCGGTCACGGCGCGATCGTCGGTATGACTCGCGGTCACGGCGCGATCGTCGGTAGGACTCCGCGGTCACGGCGCGATCGTCGGTATGACTCGCGGTCACGGCGCGGTCGTCGGTAGGACTCCGCGGTCACGGCGTAATCGTCGAAATGACTTCGTCTCCTGCGTTCGCGGACCTATCGCTCGCAATAACGGCGTTATCGGCACTCGCGAAGCGGAAAAATCGCCGACGATCGGACCAAATCCCGTCCCGAAAAATTCCCGAGTCCAATGTAATCCCGTCCCGATAATCGAGAATATTTTTTTCCCGAAAAATTCCCGAAATTTCGGGACCCGTCCATCCCTAGTTTTTTTACAACCTTTGAAAAATGTACTTAGGACATGTGTATTTGAAACTTTTGTTCTTAGTTTTGCGGGAGTGTATAATACCAGACACAAATAATTGATATTTTTTTAAATATAACCAATTACTGGTACATATTTGAACTGATATTTCAATACAGTATACATATATTACTGTAATATTTGAACTGGTAGTGAATCATATCACAGCTGTGATTTGAGAAAGGGTTTGTTCCTTGAGTGTTTAAACGTTGGTTGCTTAAGGTCTTTATTAATTATGAAGACTGGAACGGTATTTGCGGTATATGAATACAGTCGAACCTCGTTACTACGAACCTCAGTAAAAAGAATTCCTCAATAAGACAATTTTTTTTTTAATCCCCTTGAAACTGTCACATAGGTCAATGCTAAAAACACCTGTATACAACGTAGTAATTAGGTTTAAAACCTCCATAAGACGAATTTGTTTGTGACATGGGCTAGGACTATTTAAACTCTATACCTACAACAAATATTCTTAGCACAAAACCTCTTCAAGACGAATGTGACCTCTATAAGATGTATTTCTCATTATCTGAACCTCTATAGTACGCAGTTTTCAAAACAAACAGATGCTTTTGTCTCAACATCAAACCCCCGCCCATCCCTCTTCCTTCCTCAGTTCTTTAGAGAGGTTATCTCAGAGCACGTAGAAACCTCTATAAGACAAATAATGGCAGTATTAAACCTTGATAAAAAGAACCTCTTTTTTAAGAATACCGATAGTACAAATTTTTCCCCTACTTCTTGAAATTTGTCTTATAGAGGTTCGACTGTATTTAAATTTTGTTGGCTAACTGCACTTTTATAAAAAATTAAATCTACTAATTAGTTGTTAGAAGTAAAGGAAAGACAAATTGGCTGTTAGTAGTTATTAAAGTTAGTGGTTAGTTGTTAATAGAGTTAGGAAAGGCCAATTAGTTGTTAGAAATCTCCATAACATTAACACATAACATGCTAATTAAGAAGTTTTTTTCCAATTAGTTGTGTAGCTGATAGCTACAAATTCAAGCTATATTATTGAATACTAACAAACATACCAATTTATTAATAAATCAAACATTAATTTGTAATTTCAATTTGTTATTTCATACTGTTGGTTCAGTTCCTTTCATATGAGCAGAGGTATAGATAATGTCATTAGGATTGCGTCTAGGATGAGGAAATTCTTTTAACAGCCCTGAAAGTCACACCTCTAGACGATAGTGGTATTAAATTAATGTAAAAAATAACAAAAGAAACAATGTTGGGAGAAGGGTTCTGTTACGTATGCACATCCCGCTTTCTACTTGTAATTGGCACAATCTATATCAGATGGCAACATAACTTTATACATTAAACATTTTTCCAGGTTTGAACTGAGAATGGTGGAGCTTCCTGCTTACTTCAAAGTGGCTGTGACTTCAAACAAAGTTAGGAAGAGGCATGTGAATATTGTATTATACGGATAATTTACAAGCTCAACTATGTAGAGTAGTGAAAGACTTTTGTTAACCCTGCATCTGGACACCGACTCTTACCTAGTTGTTATTGAAACTATTTCCTCCACTACCAAATGACTAGTCACTAGTTGTTTGAGCATCAACTTTTTTACCTTCTAAGTTTCAACAGAAAACATCACTGTATTAGATATTGCTTTATATCCTTTTACACAGGAGATTATAACGTTTATTTTGATACATAGTTTGTTTTGTTACCGTGATTTAACAATATTTTGAAAGCTGAGAATAAAAACGTAGGTTGACGCAACTGCGTGTGATGTAAAATTCACTCTTACATTGTTTACATACAAATAATAATAAATATTTTCTTTTACTTTTTTCATGTAAAGAAAGATTTTTCAACAGTTATTTCATATCTTGGATTTCTAATAAAAAAATCTTTTGTATTTACAAGTAAACAGTTCAAAAAAATTTGTTTGTAATCTGTCAATGGTTTAAATTTGTTCCTTTTATTATCCTGAAAAAGAAAATGTATAATAGTATATACTTTTGTATGGTAGAACTCAATTTATACAGCTCTAAAGTAACCTATGTATATACAGTAACAAATGGCCTGCCAATACAGAGATTTGTAGCTGCCAGATGCAGGGCTAAACACACTCATTTGAGTAGTATTGGACTATAGGACGTGATGATAGACTTAATTCAGTTGGCTCATGTTAAGTTTTAATAAGTAACAAAGATCATGTTTTAATAAATGTTGTAAAACAAATATCTTGCTCGGAATTTGAATACTTTCGTTTTATCCTCATATTTACTTAGAACAAAACAAAATACTGTGAAATTTAATATTCATTTTTCCTTTACCTATACACTTATAAATGATGATGACTTGTTTTATTCTTCATACACTATCTGTTGTTTGCAATAGTGAGGTAGTATTCAAGTTGACTGTAAACCCTAACATAAAAGATACATCAAATTGTTGGCAATTTTAGAATCAAAAGATAATTTAATTTGTTTGAGCCATTGATAGAATGTGGTGCTGTTAAATAGCATTTTCTGTCTTATACCCCAAATGTTTACCCATACCGAACTGAAAGGGTGATTTATTGTAATTTATTATAGCTTTGTAGATAAAAATACAGACCACCAATGATAATTCACTAGAAGTCAGAATTATAAACTGAACTTACTATGTCCTAGTTTGTTAAACATTGTTATTAGTACTGCTAGGTTTGAACAAACAGACCCTAAAATACTATGTAATATTATCTCTATTCCAACAAGTTTGTGTGATCCATTTTTTTCAATCTCGCCAAACTAGTATGGAAATCATGATATTACAACTTTGCTTTTATTTATTTTATTTTACACAATGCTAATCAGAAGTTCAGAAAACTTTAATAAGAAAGATAGATTTTTCCATCTTTCTGATTAACATTTTTCTTACGTCAGGACATAATTTATGTAGGAACTATATCAAGTTTTTATAAATGGATCAGTTTTAATAATTCTATTATTTTGTTAGTTCACTCACCTCCTGAAAATATGTTGCAAATCGTAAAATATGCATGATTTTTTAGTGTGGCAGATTGCATATATATATATATAGATTATATAGGTTAATTGTCTTCGGAATCCTGATTTCGTTATAGCACTACGGCAGTTTTGGAGATTACTCCATCGTCGGGTGTAGTCGTACACTGAAAAAGCTGTGCACATGCTTAAATGTTTTTGTGTCGTTACTGGTGTTGTATATATACTATTTATTAACAAATTGTAATTGTTAATTTCAAGATGTAATTGAAATGAAGAAATCCCGTGAAAAATGTAAATACCAAAGTATTTGAGTTTAGTGTACGACTACACCCGACGATGGAGTAATCTCCGAAACAGCCATAGTGCTATAGCTAAATCATGATTGCGAAGACAGTAAGTAACCTATATATTTATATAAAAATATGCATATTCAATTGGAGAGATTTTTTATCAATAGTAGATGTACAGGAAAAGGTACAGTCTGGCCAAAGTTTCTGCGCGGCCAGAACTGGTCGGGTCTAGGTGAGGGCGTTTGCGGAGGTACTTTTGTGAAAATATTTGTGTCTTGCTACTCAGCCTGACTCACTCATCCCTACCCCCCACCACTACCAATAACTGGCACGTGGAAGGCCGTAAGTTTTAGTTTGGCTAGTAGCGACCTTGTTCGGACGCACAGAAGTTTTGGCCGAACTGGAATAGGTTAACTACTGGTTAACTAAAAAACTCAATATGTAATATAAACCATTTATTTATCTGTTTATAACAAATATATTGACTTACTTAATAGTAGTAAAGGTGTTGAGCAGTAGTAGATAATGTTTTAACAATTCAAAAATATCATAATATCAAATAAAGCAAATTTTGATTTGAATACTTAGCTATAGCTATAATACTGATTAGTATTTCAACATTTCATACAGAAGTTTAAAGCTCTTCTAGAGTAAAATTCATTCAAAATGTTATTCCTAGTGTCAATAGTTAAGGAATATTTGGTAAACCAGCATCACTACTTAAGGACTTGAAAGATGTAGTTTAATTAAACACCATTTGGTATCACAGTTCATAAACCTTAGCGTATGATATTATGTATGTGAAATAAATAGAAAAAGGAGCGAATAAATGCTTAACATATGAAACCTAACCTAACATAAGATGTTTTGGTGTGATCAATCGATGGAGAGCTGCTTGAAAGAGCCTTCCATGCCGAAGAGGTCATCGTGGGTCTTAGGCTTTCCGGGACGTTTGGCCTCGTCAGCTTTGATGCTCTCTTGGGATGCGAACCAGTCGCGGTATGATACCAGCTTTTCGTACCATTGCTCTGGAATGGGAAAATTTTTGTCAAAAATTGTTTTGTAAAAAAAATACAATTGTAAGATAAATTTCTCTGTGAAATATTCAAATCGAAGTAGTCTAGACTCAACTTTGACAGGATTCGCATCTTACAAAATCAGTCGGCTAGCGTGGCTGGTTACTGATGTTTACATTTCAGAAAATTTATTCAAGTGGTATGTTTGTGTGTGTGTGCATCAATATACCTTTTGATATTTAAAATTATAGCTTCAGCAGATAACAAACATAATTTTCCCAGTACACCCTGAGACACTCATTACTACGACAAAACTATTGTTGCTGAGTGAATTACTTTGAGAGGGTGTTTGCAAAATTTAATATCAAATTAAAATAAAATTTGAGTACTAAATACCATGAACAGGTTGAATGGGCAATTTTACTGAGGGGAATAAGGATAACATAGCATTGTATAACCATAAAGGTAGTTACTATACACTACGGGTGACGTCTATTTTTTGTAGCTTTAGCCATGGGTAAAGAAATAAGATAATGTGATCATGATAATTTCTCAATACTTAAGTAATGAAAATACTAAGGTTTACATTAGGTCCGTGTGATATCTGGGGTGAAAAATGTAACAACAATTTCTAGGTTACTTTGTAAACTCTTCATTGCAAGAGTTATATTGATTTGAAATTCACTGGAGATATTCATATTAGAGATTTTTCTCCCATTAGTTATTAATGCTAAGCAATAAAATATGTTTCCCTTCATCTCTGGGGTAAAAAGGACATTTTCATAATCCGTATATTGTAAAGTTCATCATCTAAATAACCCATGTATACTAACTTCATTCACTGTACTTACTGTTGATAGCATCAATAGGTCCTGCATTTCCACCGTACTCTTGGGGTAGAATGTCCTTAGGCACGTACTCATAAAGAGACTCAAGGTTTTCATGAACATGAATCTGAAAACCCATAACATTCCTATCATATGAGTAAGGTTTGGTCCTAGGTTTATTTTCTTTTTTATGGTTTTTTGTTGGTTAAAAATTTTCCAAACAGTGCCAACAATTTAATTTATAAGTTAAAAATTACTAAATTCTGTGCCATCGATTTGTTCTAGTCTACTATGATGGGTACAAAGCATTAACTACTATGCTGAAAGATGGAATTTAAAATTCAAAGTTTGTCTTATGGAGTATAAAAACTAATACAAATCACTAAATCAGAATAATCAGTTGTTCAAAAGCAAAAAAATACTCGAGGTTTTGTATAGAAAATTCTAAAAAGTGTCTTTATTGTTTTCGGGAACTCAATTTGTTGTAAGCCAAAAGCCTCAGTTATCAGATACTGCTGTTCAATAGCTATTCACAAAATGTGTATTTGGATTAACTTAAGTTTGTTCTATTGAAGTTCTATTGAAGAATTCACTTCCTAAATATGCTATTATTACCCTGGATATCACTAAATGTCAGTGGGCATTTCAATTACTGTTGTAATAGTCATTTAAATACTTACCCTGCTTCTGATCTTATCCTTGAGGAAAGGTCGGACAAAGTTGATTATTGTGTCCACCAATGGGCTTACGTTGATCACATGGACCTCCTTCAGCTTGACTGGGTATGCTTCCTAAAAATGCCAAGTTTGTCATTAATAACACTTTAAACTAAATTTATAAACTCTAAAAGTTAGGGTCTGTTCATGTTTAATACAATGGTTACTGTAATTTAAATGGGAATTATTGTTCTACAATAAACTTAAAAAAAAAAGAAAATTGCAAACCATTTCATGTTGTGGAACTTCCCTGTAAAATTTCAAATTTTCGTTTCTACTAGTTCACTTAGGTCTGTTTGGTCCTTTTCAGGGATACTAAAGATTGGATGCAGATCAAAAGAAAACGTGTAAAATAATGAAAGTGTTTAATTCCATTAATACTCTATTGCTCGTGGCTGCAATAGAGGAATGACTGGTCAGGAAAGAGTAATGAGACGGATATCTTCCTTAAAACAAAACTGGAAAATCGGATACTTTAGAGGCTAGTTTTATCTAGGAGAGTTGGAAACATAAATGATCTACATGTCAAGAACTCTGAAAAGGTGCAATGATCCTGTAAAGTTAAGATGTGGAATATGCATGACAAATCAAATCCTTCATAAACATAGCAATATTATAATGTTTTTGAGCTACAACAGTAAGTTATAACAACCCAAAAGTGTTACACAGATACACTGAATTATTTAAAATGTATTTTTCATTTTCACTTGTCTTACCTGAACACAAATCAAGAACTTCTTGATGAGTGTTGGTGTAAACTTGGAGAAGTGGGATGCGAAGTGCTGAGGAGTTGCAATGGAAGCGTCCAAAATGTAGACATCTCCTGCGACGCCTACCAACTCCTCCTTCAGACGAATGTCTCCTATCATCAGCACCACCTTCATCCCATCAGCTACGTTGGGGATGTTGTTGGATGCGTCTACACCTCGCATGATCACCACTCGTCTTCCATTCGGGGTCAGTCCTGGCAGCGGGGGGATTTGTCTGAGCAGTTGTAAATTTGTTAAGCCCTTCCTTCTGCTTTTCATGTTATATACTTAGGCATAAAGGTGTGCTTTGTCTGAGGAAAAGGATTCTCTAGGCTCTTACTAAATCAGGAAACATTAGGTGGATGCATGTTTGGTTATTTGACTGCTGTTAGTGAATGTTTATGTAACACTCTGATATTGACATTCAAGATCAGGTAAAATCAGGAAGAAGAGTGCATAATATTGTCAGTCCGGTTTTTTTGTCTGTATTGTTGCTCACACAATTTTACACCAGTGGATTACAATTGAGCTGCAATTCTGTTTCACTTATTCAAAACTCATTAAAATTTTACTTGTGCTTGCCATAGAATGGTGAATTATACAACGGCGGCCATTGCAGTAAGTGCACAAGCAGCCATCTAATAACTCGAAGGGACGCTAGTGAACATGAGCATAGTTTCAATTCCATAAAGTTTAGCTGCAGCTCATCCCACAAGAATCAACACCATGCAAGTTGACACAATATTTACAATTTGCAATCTGTTTCAAAATACAAAAATAGACTGGGAAAAGTTACTGTGGCCTAGTAACAATGTATTATAGGGGTCTAAATGTATCCATGAATTTAAGAACCACTTACGCAATCTTGAAGACTTCTTGGATTTCTGGTTTGGTAGGGTCCCTGTCAGCGAAAAACTCTGGGACTGCAGTTCTCATGGTAAAATACATGTCCAGCTTCCTCTTAGTCTTCTCAAGAGAGAACTTGCAGCCTCGCAGAAATGTCATGATGCGCCCATCATCTGTGAATTAAAAAGGTCTGATGTTACCTTCAACTGTTTTGTTTCTGAAATAAAACATTGATCTAGGTTTTTGCTGCATTTGAGTCTCTCGTTATTTCAATTTCTGAATCCAGCTTTATTCAAGGGATAATAGTACCTTGTTGCGATATTAAGCTTTTTGAAGCCCAATTTTTAACCTTTATTATACTGTTTTGAACAGTATAGCCTTCTCATAAATAGTAAAGAAGTTATTTATTTAAAAATATATTTCACCTTTGTTTATTTAACAAACTTTGTATAAATATATATAACTGACATCTGATACAACAGTCTCCTTGAAATTAACTAAAAAGATAGATGATACTAGAAAATTTAAATTTCTTTTGTTTATAATATTAGCAAAAAAACATGTTAGTTGAAGATACTCTGGTTTTATGATGGGGAGTCCAAGGACCCTCTTACCATCAAAGTCGGGAAGATGGGGCTGGCGCTTGAGCCATTCCTTGATGTGTTCCAAATCTTGATCTCGAGTCGTGACATTCTCATTCAGCTCAGTACGAATCTTAGCCTGCTGCTCGGCAGATGGCTGTACCAGGGTCATTGTTTTCTGAAAAAAAGTTATATTATCGTAATGGTCAGACAAGAAGCTTAGAGAAAAATGGAGCCTGGAGAATAAGAACATATCTGGAACTTGAAATAAGTTATACTGAATGGGACATTGTCAATTTTATAAAGGCTGTGAGAATATTGGATGGGCTGTGATGGGGATGTAGGGCCATAGGGTTACAAGAAGAGTGATGAAGGGTTGACCTGATGGAAGGAGGAGTAGAGGAGGGTCATATTTGAAATGACAAGTAAATGTCTAATGTGACCTGAGCAGACTTAGTGAGCAGACCTCTGCACCTGGAAGAAGAGGGTGCAGGGTAGGATCGACTGGAGATGAAAAGAGTCGGTGGTCTGGGTGCTGGACTACTGACCTTACAAAAAGTCTGGGTGCTGATGAAAAGATCGGGTTTAGCGTTTGGCTGCTGAGTAGTTAAGTATGGTAAGGTATAAAAAGATTGTTCTTTTAATATTACTGCTTCCATCTGCCACACTGAAAGGAATCAGTGATTAATGCAATATGGGCGTTTCAGAGTTAACTTTATCTGCTGGATCTTCTTTCCCGATTTAAGTATGTGATCGTTGGAGAAGAGATTGGTGGATAAGTTAAACTATTGGGGCTTGAAATGGGGAATGACAACTGATCTGTTTGATGGCTCTTCCTGGTTGATTTACTAGTCTTTGTATTACGACTTCAAAGTCAGACTTCAATGGCCTTAGATGTCGCTTTGTGAAGGAGAGATTCTTTTGTGTATTTTCAATTTCCTTTCAAGACAGATTAACAACAGTACATTGCACTGAAGGATGTTTACCAACTTCAATAATTTTTTAGACTTGCTGAAGAAGTTATACAATGTTTGTGTGGAAAAAAGAGAAACTGTTCAAGGCAAAGAAAGGCGAGGGAAAATCATAGTTAATGTAAGCACATATTCATCCTGATTTTATATTCCATTCTGACTAAGGTGGTTTATTAGGTTGTACTTAATACCAGGCCGGGTATCACCTTGACAGATGATTATAGCAACTAATCTTGTGATGACTTTTCTTTTCTTCTTTGCCTTGATGAAAAGACCCTGTTGCCTCAACGGCAATTTGTGATGAGTCGCCACTTGTTGGGACTTTGAGACAATTATATTTTAATTCTACCTCATAAACATTGTCATTTAGGATGAGATTGGCAAGAAGAATAGAACCTCGATACCGACACCTACATAAAATACCCCTAGAGAATTAAATCATATCCTGATATCCGTTAAATTTACTTCTGTCTTAAATATTTGGGTAGCACAAATCTCAGTAACATTTTCCTAGATTACCTGTTAAATGTATTCCCTTAAGAGAAAAACTAGAGGTTTTACTATAATACACCAATGAAATTATAATACTAAATAAATTATAGTTCAATGTTAAGATTTGATACATTTGGCTTTCATTTGTCATAAAACAGTAATGGTTTCATTTTTTTTGCTACAGCAACTTCTCAATAGGGTGGGTGATATTGATTGTTTAATCACAAGTTTTGGCCTAAAAAAATATACCATTAAATTTAAATTTGTACGTAAAAGTAATGTATAACACTAAAAGCAAACCCACAAACAATAACTGTATTTAAATATTAATTTATAGATTAGGGATTTATTTATTTACTTGGAATGTTTGTATTTCCATTTATATATCTATAATTCTAAACAATAAAAAATCAGACTTAAAAATGCTCAATAAAAATTCAAACAAATCATCTTTTTGATTCAAACTGTCAACACATTTGATACCTCTTTGACGATAATGGAAAATTTGGCTTGGCCTACATATTAAATATTTGACTGAATATTTCGTAAAAACAAATATTTACCTAAGCAGTAATAAAACTAAGGAAGCTTTAAATGAAATAAATCCGTAAAAAATGTTGTTTATTGAACCTTAACAATCCTACAATTGTTGAATAGGTATTAGTGATCGTTATAGTGCATTGTGCCAATACACAATTAGACGGGAGACAACAAAACCGTGTCAACCGTATTCATCACTGCTTTGCACAAACCCGCCACCATGGTAACGCTAATTACTGCAGTGGGTGCAGTGCAGTTTGAAACATCTCAATCGATTAATTACGCCTCCAACATAATTTGCGACCTGCGTTTGCTGTTCCACAGAGCGCTTTATAAGTTGAAAATTTTAAAATGCTGATAAATATTTTGGGATCAGAATCTAAATGAATTAAGCTATGAAATGTAGATGGCTCTGAAATGTAGAGATAATTAACCTCAACTACCTACGTAGCCTACGTAGGAGAAATTACCAACCACGGTAGTTTTAAAATGGCGGTTTGTCATTTATGATTAACATTGCTTCAAAGTACGATTATGAGGCAAGAACGTAATTAGTTTTCATGCCATAAGAAATACTAGTGAAATTTGTTTTAGACTATGAAGGGGACAATGTTATGTGAGACATAACTCAAAAATTTTTGTTTTGAATTTTTAAATGGTAGATAATAATTAATCAAATTAAAATCCAAATTTAGAAGAAATGTTGGCTAGTAAAAATATTTGTTGGCTTAACAACATGTTGGTTATACACTAATAAACTAAATTTGTCAACTCTATTGTTGTTTAGTGCAAGAGACCAAAATAAAAATTTCTTATTTAGTTAACATTTTATAAGGTAGAACAAACCAAACAAAGAAATAATTCATTGATAAACAAATTAATTTCATGAAAAATACTAAATATGGTTAAATTACAGTTAGTTATCACTCCTTCAAAATTCCCTAAATACAATATTTGAAGTAATTTTTAAATTTACCAACCCCATTATGGCTGATACTGTATATAATTTATCGCTTTTTAGACGTTGTGTCTAGAAGTACGTTGATATTCCTGCAGTAAGTCTATTCAAGGACACTTTGTAGGCTACAAAGTCCTTGGGTGCTCAGAGGTCCTCCAAGAGCAAAGGTCACTCCTATGTTGGCGTATCTAGGAGACGAAGGCCTTCGACATGACTGTCGCAGATTAAATGAGTTGCCGACTACCCTTGGATGAACTTTGAATCCGTTGAGTCACTAAGGATACGTGTGTGTTTTGTATAGGCCTACTTGTATATTTTACAAGTTTATGAATTCTTAGTTTTGCTTAAAAAAGGACCCAGCAAATATTTTAGATAATATAAAACGTGTACCTAAATCGCAATAAAATATCAGTTTAAAACAGTTTTTTTTAGCCTAATATGTTGCCAGTCCGTCTCCAATGCAATGCATTTAAAATCGCAACAAAAATAAATTTAAACAAATAAATTACTACACAATTACAAAATATAAGACAATAAAAAAATACTTCACACACAATTAATTGACAAAAATATATTACGAAAAACACGAATAAAAATATAAGATGTTAATTAATAGAAAATATTTGTTAATTTATGACGAGGAATAACCGATTAACAAAAAAATACTTATAGTGTTAAATTGGTAATTAGTAAAGCAAAAGGTCTCACATAAGAGAAGAAACAATTTAAGTGAAGCATTTGAACGTGAAGTATTTGTATAACTGTTTCTTTGTTAATACAATTTTAAATTCTGTTTTCGCCTCGTCATACAGAAAACTCCTTTTTGGACCGGCGCTTTTTAACTTAACATCATTCTTACAATATCCTTTTCCTAATTCATTACATTTGGTAGTCACAGGCATCTATGTTTTCCCTTATCTTGTTATATTACATTACAATCGATATCATATCAATCTTATCTTTTATCAGTATCCCGTATCTGTACTACTGGTTATTTGTTCAAACCGTTTTAAATTTTTGTCACACCATAATCAGTTCGCCGCTTCATACAGAAAACTATTTTTATGGTCGGTGCTTTGTTAACATAATATTATTCTTACAGCATATCCGTTTCCTAGTTCTTAATTACATTTGGTAGCGTAGGCATCTATGTTTTTCTCACCATATTATATTACATTTATATTCCAACCTCAGATTATATTACAATGATACCATATCAAGCTTATATCTTATCAGTAATCGAAAGTATGTTTATTATATTTTATCTTTCTTATCTCATTACATTCCATTATTATTCTTCGTTGTCCAATCGATAATAGTATCTTTATTACGTATTTCCCTACGTTATCTTATTATATTCTCCTTTTATCGTTGACTATTCTATTTCAGTCAGTATGTTTTCTCCTCTAGTTATCTACTCATATTATATATCTATTTTTACGTCTATTTCGTGTTTGAGTAAAAACGTAACCAACAGTAAACACCCGGACCGTCGCTGACCGGGCACGACGCTTAGGCAAGAGCAAGGACCATTACATAAGATGTCTGCTGTACCCACTTTCTCCAACTCTCTCTGTTTCGATCTCAAGATGGACCTCATATCCTATACAAGTGCCGGCAACCTGTGTTCCATTGATATACTTAAGTCCCATTGTCTCATCTGGTTTGCTCCTCTGCGGGCAATGATGAATCATACCTCAGTTACCAGAGGAAATCTCTTTATAGCTACGAAGCTACGGTACGCAACAATAGTTTGGAATAATTCGGTTCCCATTGAATAATGTTCTACGTAAAATAAAGCTTGTGGAAAGATAAATGTGCACACATGTTTTACTTTGATATTTTGTTATTTGTTATTTTTTTAATTCATTAAAAATCTTGTCTTATACCACTTACTATAATACAATAATACAATGCTCATCGGTTCTGGGTGTGTACATTAATATCCAATTTCTACTAGACTGACCAATAAAAATGAAATTTTGTAGACCTACAATCAACAGTTAATCTACTTTAATATTGCAATTGTTAAAATACAGTTTACGATCTAAAAACCGATTTATGTTCAGCAATAAACGTTCCGTTCGATTTTATGTTTTAGTCATTTTAAACCGCAAAGAGATAAATCGAATCATACACAACCGAATCGTCATTACCAGCCGGAAGTGGTGAAAATGAAACCAGCAAATAAAACACACGCAATTAACTCCAGGACTC